CCATGCTCAGACGAGGATTAGGCCAAGCTGAGGCCAGTGGACATCCAACACTGAGACTACAACAAAAGAGACTCTGGGCTATCACTTCGCTAAACTAGGAAGGAGAGGTTACTATCACATCACTTCCATCAGACGTCTTACTACGCCTGTCCCTGACTAATCCTACAGATTGTTGAGATTCTCAGGCAGTCTTACTACGCTGTCCCATCTAATGTGATACAGTTTACTTGTTTAGTCCGCCGCACACTGGGCTACCTTTTTTGGGTATAAAAGGAGGCTCTGGAAGGGCTGCTGTTGACTGTAGCTCCTCAAGGGCTGCTTCACACCAGGACTCATCATCATAGCAATTGTGCCGTTTCTGATTGGCGGTTTTAGTGACGCTGCGGAGATGTTGTATGTTGCGTCGAAATAGCTTGGCTTTTTTTCCCCACAATTTTGGATCGTGGGGAACTGTGCTGCTGAGTGATTTGTGTAGGAGTCCATCTCTTGTTGTCAGGATACGGTGCGATCCTGGACTCATCTCCAGGTCATATTTTTGCCGAATTAGGCTGAAAAAATGTGACATTTGTTGTGACAGGAAGGCAAACACATGCTACTCCTTTGGGCTGAGCCCAATCAGGCCACAGGGGCAGAGACCCGGTCACCTGCTGCTAAGTGACGAGCCCCTTCCCCAGGCCTGGCTCAAGGGTTGGGCCCTGTAACCCACGTCCGTGCAAGGTACACGAGTTCCTTGATTTGTGCTGTTCATCAAAAGTCTTTTGAATTGCTCTTTTTCTGGCCTGTCAACTAGGACAATCTGCATTAGGAAACCCTACCAGACAGTGTAGGTCCTAGGATCAATCAGGCACACAAACTCCTCCACAACGATAAGGTGGCGATTCAAGGAGGAGAAGTTTCTTTTTTGAGATTTTTTTTTTTTTTTAGAAAAATGTAAGTTACACATATCCATGGCTTCCGATGGCTGAGGCTTGGCTTTGGCTGTAGCTGATGCAATGGCTGAGGCTGTGGATAATCAGCTTAGTTCCATGCTCAGACGAGGATTAGGCCTAGCTTAGGCCGGAGGACAGCTACCACTGAGACGATACAAATGAATGCATAAAATATCCATTGCTCTGGACAGTCTCTTCCAATGGCTGAGGCTTGGCTTTGGCTGTAGCTGATGCAATGGCTGAGGCTGTGGATAATCAGCTTAGATCCATGCTCAGACGAGGATTAGGCCAAGCTTAGGCCGGAGGACAGCCACCACTGAGAAAATACATAATAAATAAATACATAAAATACCCATGGCTCTGGACTGTCACTCCTGATGGCTGAGGCTTGGCTTTGGCCGTAGCTGATGCAATGGCTGAGGCTGTGGATAATCAGCTTAGTTCCATGCTCAGACGAGGATTAGGCCAAGCTTAGGCCGGAGAACAGCTACCACTGAGACCATACAAATAAATGCATAAAATATCCATTG